ATGGGATTTACGAGGGAGAGAAAGAAAGGAGGAATGAATAAAAAAAATGATTTACTTAAAAAAAAAAAAGATGTGTAAAGGTGTGTTTACAAGTGGTTGGGGCAAATTAGTTTTTTGCCAATTGATTGTGCCATATTTTGAAAAAAGAAAATTTAATGGCATATTGAGAAAGAAATTTGAGAAAAAATGGCATTTCTTGTAAAATTCTTTTATATATAAATACTTTTAAGTAGTAAGTATATAATTTTGGCAAGTACCAAGTCGAGTCAAGGTACTTACAAGTAATAGGATTTTGGACAAATACTTGATATAGAAAGTACTTGCTTCGAACGATTCAAGTATCAAAATCGAAATTTTTGTTACTTAAATAAGCCAAGCCGAGCTACAAATACTTAAAAATTAGAAAATACTCGGCTTGTGCCCAGATCTAATGGTCGGACCTACCGTTCCATTAAACATCGACCGGCCCGTTATGTAGAAAATACTTTATAGTGTTTGTACATTACAAATACAAAATCAGATACTAGCGACTAAAAATCGGATAAATATTTTTTTTTTTTGGATAAAAATCTATCGAAATAGGTAATTTAAGAACAAGGTATACTATTAATTTAAAAACAAGGTATATTTTTTTTTGGTTATTGTTGCAAATCACCGTAGAAAAGCATGAAATCCCATGATCTTATTTTCTATTTAATATGGGTCTTATTTTTACTTGGTACAAGAAGACATTGACTTTCCACACTTAACTACATTAGATGACACATATATTTTATTTTTTTTACTTGAGAAATCAAAACAGAGGAGGAATACTCTGTTCACTCTTGAAGAAATTATTTGGATCAATCTTTCCTTTAACCAAACCCAATCTTTTGAAATTACCTTTAAAATACATCTCTCCCCATTTCTTTGCATCTTCAAAACTCATCTTGATCCCTTTGTTCATTCCCAAATCAAGATCTCTGTAATTCAAATAAGCTCCTCTTGGTGATCCAGAGACATAAGGAGTCATGTAATCGTAAAGCAATCTTATCCATCTCACATGCTTCTTCATCTCCTCCATTTCATTCACTTTCCACCTTACCGTATACTGTACACTATACAGATTCCCTTCTCTGTGTGGATATGGAGACTCTTCTTCTAAAACCTCGTTTATTTTCCCACCCAACGGATCGAAGGACATCGATGGGGCGTCTTCCTCGAGAAACCGCTTAAAGATTTCTTCAAAAACGTTTTCTTGAAGTGGCTTCTGTACATAATCTGACTTTGCTTTGAAGTAAAGATTCTCGTATCTTTGGTCTCTATCGAGCATGATCTCTAATGGTTGTCCGAATTTCCCGATGAAGAACAGATTGGCTTCGATCCAGCTCATTTCTTTGCAATCTTGAGATCGTAATCCGAGTTCCGGAAACTTTTCGTTCATCAGAGGAATCAGCTTCTCGATTCCACCAAGAAACATACCTTGAAATGTCGTCCTCACTCTTTTTTGACTTCCTTGTTGTTGATTATTGTTAATGAAAACTCTGATGAATAAATCGTCGTCTAGGTGTGGTCCTATGTATTGCCATCTATGAACAAGTTTGCTCCTATTTGGCCCCATTGCATGTTGACTTGTGAAACAAGTTACCTTTTCAGGAACCCTAACGAGTTTAACCTTCCATGACAATACAACGCCAAAACTCGCGGCTCCACCGCCTCTTAGCGCCCAAAACAAATCCTCTCCCATCGATTTCCGGTCGTGAATCTTTCCCTTTGCATCTATCAAACGCGCGTCCACGACGTTATCAGACGCTAAACCGTGTTTTCTCATGATTATACCATATCCTCCGCCGCTGAAAAGTCCACCAACTCCAACACTTGGACATACACCTCCAGGGAATCCATGGATCTTGCTGGTTTTCGCGATCTTGTAATAGAGCTCGCCTAATGTTGCGCCGGATTTGATCCATGCGGTTTCTTCTGTGAGGTTGATCTTGATCGATCTGAGGTTAACGAGGTCGATGATTATGAAAGGTGATTGTGAGAGGTAAGAGAGACCTTCGTAGTCGTGACCACCACTTAAGGTTCTTACTTGTAATCCAAGTTTCTTGCTGCATAGAATCAGTTTCTTAATTTCTGGTTCGGATTTCGGTTTGGCGATAAGAATCGGCTTTAGGCTAGTGAAATTCAAGCTAAGGAAGCTTGAATTTTTAGATAAAGATTCGGAAAAGCTAGTGTAGGTTTGGGAATCTGACGTGTGTTTGGTGAGAATATTAGGGTTTTCGAATATTGAATTGCTGTGATTTGTCGATAAGCAACTTTTAAAATGTTCTCTTGTCGGAGGAGAGAAAATAGAGTTGACACATTTTACTAAGAAGAATACAAACAGAGATAGAGCAACTTCTCTCATGTTTTTTGTGTGCGTGTGTGGGTTTCTTGTGTTTGAAGTTTCAGACAAAAAGAAGCAATGTTCTTGATTTTGTCGTTTGGAAACTGAATGAGTGCAAGAAAGGAAGAGTTAAGGAGGCTATAAATAGTTCAATACTGGATTTGAACAGAATATTTATATTAACGTCACAAGAAATAAAATACGAGTGTTTTATCGAAGATGTTAGCTATATAAGAGTTAAAAATAAGACATTTTCAAAGTTGATGAGCACTGTTGATGCGAAACAAAGAAAAGTAAACGTCGGTCCGATAAAATCGTCTGAAATATCATTATTCAATTTTATTTCTCTTTAAGAGAATAAAGAAATGAAATGGTAGTGTGTTAACGTCGTTAGGCTTGATGTCAACTCTACTGCATGGTCAAAACGTACGTGTTACTTTGTTTGGAGTCTCTGGTGATACAAATAGATTCTTAGTTGTTCTTCTCTCACAACAAAATGCAATTAATACGAATACTTTGTTTGGATATGTCATATGTATCATAAGTTAAAACTTAAAACCCAATATTTGTTTTGGAATTGGTTTATAATACAATTTAGGTCTAAGAATTTTTAGTTTATACGTTCCAAAAACAACTTTTATAGAACCATTTAAAATTTGAATGTTCCTGTATTACAAGACCATTTCAAACAGTGTCCAGTTTACAAAAGTCTGAAGAATCGACCCCCTATGATTATGAAAACATAAACAACACAAAATTTTGAATCGGAGACTATTCAAAGTTTGACCTCTTCGTATATTGAAGACTACTTGATTACTCTGGTGTGTTGCAAGCTGCGTGAAGAGTAAAACACACAAATTTCAGAAAACGCATCGTCTTTGAATTTTTTTCTTTCTCAAGACCTAGAACTAGAAGAGCATTTATGTAGTAGAAAACAGGCTTTCAAACACACAAATAAGACTAGACATAAACTATGTAGAGAACTTGTAAGATTTGTATGGATTTGGGTCAAATTGCTCTCAGTTCCACTCTCACTACCAATTGGCAGAAAATTAAAAGACACAATCGTTTACGAGCTACTCCCTCCATTTTTAATTGTTAGATGTTTACACATTAAAAAAAAAAAGTTAATGAAGTTAATGTATACCTATAAATGCATTACTTTTTTGTACTAAACAATTTCCATAACTCTAAACCAATAATAATTCAATAAAATCAATTAATATGTCTTCTTTTCTTCTTATTTCGTAAAGATAAATATGTCATCAAATTTACAATTCTTCACATACAAACGTATAGAAAAAGTAAAATATTTATATTTATAAAATAAGAAGAAAATATAAAAAATCTAACTTTTAGAAATGAAGAGAGTATTAATTTAACCTGGTAATGATATTGAAAGGGTTGATATAGGATATGAGACATGGGAACTTAATCTGCCTGTCAATCACTATAAGAAAACACAGTTTTAGCGTCGGCAAAATTCGATTCTAATTCGACGCTAAATCTTATTCGACGCAAATTCGATACAATTTTTGCGTCGTATAGATTTTCGATGCTAAATCGACGCTATATATTCGACGCTAAATCGATGCTAAATTAGTGTCGATTTAGCGTCTATAAACATCCGATGTAAAACTTCGACGCTAAATCGATGCTAAGTTAGTATCGATTTATCATCGAATATATAGGGTCGATTTAACGTCTTCACTGAACCGATGCAATAATTCGACGCTAAATCATCGCACATTTAGCGACGATTTAGCGTCGAATCACGTCGTCTTTCGACGCTAAGCCGACGCTAAATTTGAGATATATTGCATCGGTTTAGCGTCGTTCTGGATGATTTTTTTTTAAATAAAATATTCTAAAAAGTCTGTTTTACAAATTTTGTATATAAATCTGAAAATGCAAATTTAAATAGTCTAAAATTATTAAAATACAAACGCAAATTTAAATTATCCGAAATGAAAATTTAAATTGTCTAAAAACAATGAAATAAAAACGTAAATCTACTGATGTTGGGTCCTTGGTTCATGGTATCTTGTCGAATCATATCCTCGGATTCTTTCTCGAACTGCGTTGGACCGGTAGGTGGAGGAGGCGGTGGAGGACGCTGCATGTTTTCAAAGGCAGCTGCTAAAGTAGGGTTATCCACTGCGATAATGTCAAAGAGACTGGTCAATGCCGAGAGATGGTCCTTCATCGAGGTGTGTTCCATCTTTAGCCGGCCAATCTCAGCATTAGCAGCGGTCAACTGAGCGGTCAATTGCAGCTCAAAAAAACTCGGAGTTTAAGAATACCGAGC